CCCCAAAACCCCAAAACCCCAAAACCCCAAAACCCCTGAAAGCAAATATTAAATTGAAACTATTCCTTATCATCTAGGGCTTGTTTCTTCTTATTCTTTTTCTTCCTCTTCTTGAACTTAGTGGAAACCCTACCGAGAGCTTTAGTGAGCTCTCCTCTTCCTTTATAAGATGCTTGCCTATACTGTTCATCAATCCTCCCTCTCTCAACCTTAGATCTTAAGAGGGTCAACTTGTCTTTCTCATTAATCATTGTATCGTCTTCCTTTGATTTGGCTTCTGCTTTTTCATCTCTCTTTTTACCTGTTTTCCCATCTGGATATTTAGATGGATCAAGGGAAAGTACCCCACAAATCTCTCCTTCTGGGATTTTATCTGGATAATAAATCTTAATAAACTTACTTGAAGGTTTTTCTTCCTTATCTTCTTCCTTTACCGCATTCTGAGTGAAGAAATTGTCCTCAGGTGATACTTCTTCCCACTGTCCAGCTTTGCCTACGCCAACAGGTCCTGCTCTGGGTTCTTCATCTAGTGGAGTAGCCTCGAAGGTCTGAAAAGTTCTGGTATATTCATTATCAGTGCTTTTCTTGATGTCAACACCATCAAAATCCTTTGGCTTTTTGAACTCACTCTTATTAGTTTTCCTGTTGAAGTAATACATTTTGCCAGTCTTAGCATCCATATGGGATGACCATACTATAGATATTACATACGAGAACTTACCAGGCTCATTTTGTAACTGAGCCACAGAAAAGTTGTTGTCATCATCCTGTGGTTTGTTATAACCGAGATTGTCAACAGTGTTCCTGGTTCCAACAAATGACCGAAGTTGGTCCCCAATTTTGCTTCCTCCAAACTTGTTGTCATTAGATAGGAAAGATTCAGCAGCTGCTTGTTCTATCTTATAAAGCTCATCATCATAATTCTGCATTTTCTGATAAGCCTCGATCTGGGAGTTATTTCGGTCTCTTTCCTCCATTATCTAGAATTTCGTTCCTCATTTGGATATGAGCCTCGCTATTTTTCATGAATACTAATGCTCGCAGGATGATTGGGAATTTCTATTCTACAGATTGGGCATGTATGCATCTTCTTTTCATCCCGTTTCTTCCAACTATCAGTAGCTATTCCTTTAAAACCTCCGTAATTGGTGCTCATGTTTCTCTGAATTTCAATAATTCTGCTTATTTAAGGGGTTTTGGGGTTTTGGGGTTTTGGGGTTTTGGGG